CACCTGTTTTCTACGCTGATACAAAAGAACACATCTAGATTTAAAATAGTTAACGAAGGACTCTACTTTACGCAACTTATAAACGGGGTTCTCAGCTGCAGGATCTACAACATGCAAAAAGGCCATGAGCCCTTGAAATCGTGTTGTGGACAGGATGGATCTTGCCTAAAGACCATGGTCGAGGGTCTTGGTACTCCATTATTTCTCCACACTCATACCTACTTTCACTAAACCATAGTAGATCAGAAGGGCTAAGAGTAAACCAGCGAGCATGCGCAATATATATATATATATATATATATAACTACAGACAGTGCACACTTCTGGGCCTCATCAGTGCAGTGCTGATGCTAGGATGGAGGAGAACCGAGACGGTCACCCCAAACGATTGCTGATTGGCTGAGAACTCGTGAATTAATCTCAAACAGTGCATAAAGTTCACGTAAAAATTACAGCAAAACAAAATGGCGGGCAGGTGAGGAGTAAGTGAGAACGTTTTAATTCACAGAGAGAATGCTAGAAACAAAAGCACCTAACAAAGAAAAAACAACTGGATACAATTCTGGAAGTCTTGGGGTTCCAAAATTAAAACGAATATGAAAGTATGAATCAGAGGTTCCGAACAAAATTCTCGAGGAGTTTTACAAATAAGTTCGTATGATGCACGATCCTCGCAGTAGATAGCGCTATTTAAGCAATAGCGAAAATCAGACCTGAAAAAAATCAGGCCTGATTACAATCCTGTACCTGGGAGGTGAGGATTCTTTTGTCGTGGTTGTCGATGATTTGTTTTGTATTGTCCATGCAGCTGTACAGGCCTGATTTTTTTCAGGTCTGCTTTTCGCTATTGCTTAAATACCGCTATCTACTGCGAGGATCGTGCATCATACGTATCTAATACCGCAGTTCAAAATATATGAACTTCATATATTTTCATTGTATCTGACAAAAAAGTTCGTACGAAAGAAGGGAAAGTTAGAAGCAAGCTCTTGATGGGAATAAGAAAATATTTAGAATAGAATATTGAGACAGGGTGGCCCAGTTCAGCTGGTTTAAATGGGGCCCGGTGACACCCACCCATCCCACTCCAGGGGAGGACATCCACCACACAGTAATCTCGTGCGTGAGAAATTAACGTCTCCTACCCCTAATCCTGCAGGAGAAAAGGCCTACGGTTCATTCGTCCTTATCCGAGAAGACTAGAATATCTATCCATTCCTTGATATCATAGAAAGGTAGCAAATTCTCCTCAGTTATTTTAAGATCATGAGTATTGGTTCGGCCGGGGCTCAAACCCTCGACATCCCGCACAGCACAATCCAGCGCTTTAACCATTTGAGCTAACCGGGAGGCGGTTGGGAAAATCCTGACTTCTCCACCAACAGGAAAAAGACAAGTGACAGATCCAGTGAGCCATGACACGAAATAAAAAAAACTCGAGAGGCAAACAGTCATATTTTTGCATGTTTGTTATTAACTAGAAATCACACAAATGTTTCTCATGTAATTTGGGATAAATCATCACTCGTAAATATTTCAAAGACCACAAATCGCACTCACCATATGGGCTTGTGCAATTTGATTAACTGATTTATCTCAAATTCCGCGAGAAATTCGTATGTTTGCCTATACCAGGGTCTCAGTTGGGTTAACCGCTAGCCATAAAACGGACACGAAATTTAGCCAAGAACGAGTACAAATTGACAAATCGTAGACGTTAGTCGTACAAAAGGAAGTTAACTAACTGTTAGCCGTAAAATGGCCAATTAACCCGTTAGACTAAAGTCATCACCTCATTGAAAACTCTCCTATACCAGCTAAGTCGGTAAATGTGATCACTCCTCCATAAAAATGTGTCGAGGGACGAGGAAATCTTTAAAAAAATTTGCTCGGTCGGAGGGGTGCTCATTCAAAGAAAAGCGCTGTACAGGGGGGAGGGGGTAAGGGGGGGCTTAACAGGGCTTCAGAGTAATGCCCTCTCCTAGAATAACAGCCCCCACTACCTGGAAATCTACGGTATTACCTACTGATAGAAACTACAGCAATGACGGTGACGAAGATACCTTGTTTTGATTTAATTCCGAAATTATCCCTTCCAAGTTCTTTTAGAATTGAGGAGGTGGAGCTTCCAGCGGTCACCTCAGGAACGTTACTTTCCTTGGAATTTTGCCGTGGAGAGTTTACCTTCTCCAACTTCTGCAACATAAGGAGTAAGTTAAAGTTGCTCTTGAAATGGATCTACTTCTATAAAATCATGTTAATCGATACTCAGTTATACAACTTCCAGAGGTAATTTCAAAAGGGCTGACCCATAAGAGGAGGGTTTATCAATATTAGGAGGGGCTACAGGTAGAACAGAGAAAACAATTCCAAATTAAACCTACAGGGGATCTCACTGAGATTTAATCGTCAGCAGTCAAAGAAGTTAGATTCTAACGGTCAAACGTAACTGATAAAGTACAGACTTTTACTTTGAACTTTCAAAAAAGCATTCAACTTGAGGTTGTCAATGGGGTTTAACCGTCAGCCGCAAAATCAGAGACAGTTTAAATAGTTTTTTTGTGGAAATTCATGCAGAGGTTTAAATGTCACTGAATAAGCGAATCCTTAACATGTGCGGTGTTTTTTAGTTCTAATGCGGCTGAGTTGTTGAACGTAATTTCCTGGTCGTTTAGTTGTTGTGGCCAGCTGCAACTATCTCAAAACCTGATGAATTGAAAGCTATGGAATCCTATGGAAAGAAAATGAACAACGGAAATATTATGATTAACTTTTGGCATTGTGTGACGGAATAACCTACCCCGAAAGTAACAGAAGAGTCCGTTGGTTGACTCACCTTATCTTCGCAATGGATATTTCCATGGTTGCTTCGATCTCTTATAGCCACACCAGTAAACTGATTGGTCGTCAGCGGTGGTCTCTCTCTAAGTTTTAAGGAAAAACTCTTATTTCAGTAAACTCCATCTGTTCTAAAGAAGAATACTGTAAAGGCAAGAGGTAACAGACAGAATGCAGCGTTTTTCAAATAATTAAAATAATAAATAATACAACCCTAACGGCATGCTGAACGATGATTTCCTCCGCACTTTGGCCATTACCAAAGTTATTCTTCACATAGCAAATTATTTATAAATTATGAATGAATAAGTAAAGTAAGTTTATGAAATCAATAAGGAAACAGAGTGGTCGGCGGTCGGACTTGCAATCCGTCGCTCCTGGGTTCGAGTCCCGCCCTGGCCACTACTTGGATTTGATTCACGGTAGCCCCGAGTTTCAAATCCTCGACCATGCTTGCAATATAGCCAACTGGTTTCCCTACGGCCAGTTGGGATTCTTAACAACGTTATTTTCTATTTGAATTCATTTTTTAAGTTGTTTCGTGGAAAACCTGTAAACTAGCTTCTAGCTAAGTGTTTCTCCACGTTAAACTGTTTATTATTGTTATTATTATTATTATTATTATTATTATTATTATTATAATATTATTACAGAAGATAGATAGCAGAGTTAGCTAGAAAAAATGTCCAATTTTTAATTAGTGCAAATACAAATTCTGATTTATAGTAATTCTGTGTGTTTGTATATTCGTTCTCTCTTCCCTTCTTTCCCTTTTCCTCTGCTGCTCATCCCTTCATATTTAGGTTTTTCATTGGTAATCAATTTACTAAGGTTACCCACGCACACTTTTTTGTTTTGTGTCTGCACTGATGACTTCATGATCGATTTATAAAAAATTTAAAAAGATACTTCAACGGTATCTGCCCTTAACACAATTACAGCCTTACCTAGTGGGTCCACGAAGCTTTTTCTTATAAATGAAAGTGAATATAATTAAGATTAAAATGACAGCTGTAGCTAAAATTCCACAAGCCAATTGATAATGAGGAGTTCTGTCTTCAGTATTTAATTTCATTTCATCATTGGACACTAAAATGAATGAAAATATATGAGCAAGTAAGTAATTCGTCGCGATAAGCGTTGAAAAAAAAGGTTATTGGAGTAATTTCCCATCGAGTTTCGTGTGTTGTGGATACGAAGCCGTGGATATTAGGGACCGAGATACAAAACATAGCATTCGATGGGTTTTAGCTCAGATTAAGCCCTTCTTTTACTCATCAGGAAACCCTTTAATATTTCAATATTGCAGTTTGTGCAAAAAAGAATGTTAGAGCCTCTTTTTTTTCTCAATCGGGCACTGGTGAAGCCGATCCACTTGCCATTTTTAAAACAACAACAACAACAACAACAACAATTTATCACTTATAGAGCGCTATTTACAATGACAGATCAACAGCGCTTTACAATCAATCCTAACCCGCCCATCCCACTCCAGGGGAGGACATCCATCACACCGTAATCTCGTGCGTGGGAAATTAACGTCTCCTACCCCTGACCCTGTAGGAGACGGGACCTCCATTTATTCGTCCCTATCCGAGAAGACTAGAATATCTAACCATTTCTTGATGTTATAGAAAGGTAGCATATTCTTCTCAATTATTTCAAGACCTTGAGTGTTGGTCCGGCCGGGGCTCGAACCCTCGACCTCCCGCACAACAGTCCAGCGCTCTATCCATTGAGCTAACCGGGAGGCGGTTAGCTCAATGCTATTCCATTCATGCCGGTGTCACTTCTTTTCAAGGGCACCTTTTTCGAAACCTAAGGTTTTTCCTGTAGGTGAAAGCTCTTCTTTGACTCTGGCAATCCTCTTTTCCAAGGACCAGGCCAACACGGGAAAGACACCTTAGCCCTATCGCTGTTACATTCACCCAGNTTGATCGCATGAAGAAAACAACAAAAATTCGATTGCTATTTAAAGGTTTCTGTTCACCAGCCTAACCGTAAGTATAATGTGTTTTCTTAGGAACGGTCGAACCGTTAAGGTCATTAAACACTACTCAACGAGAGATCACTTGAAATTTAAAATTGTTATTTGCATAAAATAGTATTTCAGGGGACGTACGAAGTGTATTCAGGCTGATATCGAAATTTACTGAATGATACAGTTTTTTCTGGTCACGTAAGATTTGTTAAATCAAAGGGAACTCTTTAGCTACAATGTCTCAATACTATGTTATAAAACAAATGGTAAACACCACAGCGTACACTATTGAGTTATGGATGCACTTGGGAGGTTTTCTAAGCACTCTAGAAGCTAGAGTCGCTATCGGCTATCGGCTCGCGCGACTCTTGCGCTTCTTTTGTGCTTAGTAACCTCCCGCGTGCATCCATAACTCAATAGTGTACGCTGTGGTGTTTACCATTTTTTAATTAGCGACAATCTATGTTTCATCTCATTTTGTTAGGATTCATTTCCTTTCTTTGTTTCCATTTTTGCTTTGTTTCGTTTTGTTTCAACTTGAAGCATCAACTTACGTCTGCAGCGAGCGTTATTGGATCCTGTCCAACTCCCGTCATTACTGCATACTCTCGAAGAGCATCCAATGAGAACATATCTCGAGGTCTGACAGGAAAATATGCATGTCTGATTATATCTACTACTCGTTAAGCAGCTGGCAGGCGAGATGGTGACGTTGGTTGGAGGAATAAGGGGACCACAGATAACAGCTGAAAGGATTTAATTGTAAAAGATAAAATATGTTGATTTTTCTTTCTTCTCAATCAAATCCCTTCTGAGAATTTAAAAAAAAAAAAAAAAACAATGGAAGGAAAAGTGGGACAACTCGTACCATGACACGTTGGCAAAGGTTTGTCCCAAGAGCCTGAAGGACTGCCTTTTTGGGTAACACACGTGAGGGATGAGGAGCCCTTCAAGAGATGACCAATGGGACAGGAAAAGTTGCATTTTGCTCCGTAATGATTACCACAGCTGCTCATACGCAATGGACCTCCCTGACTGACCATAAGCTTGGAGCAGTTGATCACTGAAAGGTAAAAAGAAAACAAAAAATATGCGAAGTTCCGAAAAGAGTAACTGACTTGTTAACGAGTCATTTGATTGCATTTTGCTTTCCATCACACCTAATTCTACATCCGTTTGGCTGTGTAACTGTGTCTGTCCGTAAATATCTTTCTCGCGCCTATGTGTCTGTCTTTTTTTCCTCATTAAGATGTCTTTGCTTTAATTTGCATTTAAGAAATGCAAATTTGAAATGTTTGTACATGTAATACCTGTATTGGTTCAGCGAGACTGAGCATCTAGATAGCCGACTAGACAGTCGACTCGGGTTCTGTCCTCGTGTACCGGTTCACAAGAGTCGTTACAAAAGACCGAACAATATACAACAGCTAACCAATGACTCCTAAACAAAGAAAGAACAATGGTAATTCCCTTGTGAACCGGTACACCAGGACAGAACCTCGACTCGGTATGTGACGAAGCTGGCTTAAATACATTACACTGTCAATTTCACGCTTTCACCGCAAACGATGTATTGATAGTTGTAACGATGTTTCGCTTAATATAAAGGAGATATCGCTAGGCGGCAGCGATATCTCGTTGTATGTAAACGGTAAATAGGGGAGGCGAAAACGACATCTCTTTGAACTGCAGCGATATATCACTGAGCTCAAACGATATATCGGTGAGCTCAAACGATAATTTGCGAAGAGCTCCACGATAT